AATTATCAGAATCTAAAGTTAGTAAAAAAGATATTGAGAATGCAAAACAAAGGTATTTACTTAGAAAAAAAATGAAAGAAAAAGAAAATCAAATTAAAACAAATTAAATAATAAAATGAAGACTTAATTTTTAATTAAAGGTTTTATAAATTGTTTTAAATTAGTTCTAAGTGTTGGACTTAAAAATTGTTCAACTTGATCAATAACATGTGATTTATTACTTGGAATAAATGGATAAATTTCAGTATAAAATTCATTTAATAATTGAATAATAAAATTATATTGTTCTTCACTTTGAACTATTCCTTTTCTTTCATTTCTTAATGAAATAACAATTTCTGCAACAAGTTTTTTTATTTCATATTCATTTAATGCTTTTTTTATATCATTAATTTGTTTTTCTAATTTAATATCAATTAATGTATTATTATTACATTGACTGAAATCTATTCTTCCTTTTAATGTTGAATAAAAATGATGTTCATAAATTCTAAATAATATTATAAATGTTCCACTTCTTCCTAATCCTGCAGAACAATGAATAATTGGTGGTCCATTTAATTTAATTCCTTTGATTTTTCCTCTACAAACTAAACTAATAAAAAGCATATCAGTAATTTGTTTGATATTACTAGGTACTCCAAAATCAGGCCATCCTGTATAATGTATATGAATAATACTTCTTTTACTTTTTTCTATTTGATTTTCAATAATTATTTCTCTAACTTGTGTTTCCATTCTTTTAATTGTTTGTAAATCATTATAAAGAATTGATCCTACTTTGATATTAAATTTCCCATATTTTTGTTCTATTCCATTTTCTGGAAAATACCTTGTAGCTTTAATTCTATCTTTTTCTTCATATTTTGTTAACATAATAATAATTGGTGTTTCTTGTTCCCAAACCATATTATAAAAATCTTCTATGGTTGTTGTTAATGGTGCTTGACATGAAATATATCTTCCTCCAAAAACATAATTAGCATTTATATAATCTCCTGATTTTAATGGTACAATACTTCTATTATTTGCTAATACATTTTTATATCGATTTTTTGTTAAATTTGATGCTTTACAAGATAAACTAAATTCTTCGTCTTTGATAATTGCAGTATGTTGATTAACCCAATCAAATGAATATTCTTCTATAGAAGTACATGCATTTTCAATAGACATATTTCTGTTTTTTCTTATATCCTTTTTAAGTTCTTTTCCATTGTATAAAAAACCATATTTTTTATTGTTTTCCATATTGTCCATTCATAAAAACCATAATTTCATAAAAATTTTTCTTTGATTTATTCTTTTCTTGATTTTTTTCTTACTTACTTATTAATTAAATAACTTTGATATATTAGTATACTATCTACTCATTTTACATTCTACTTTACTACTTTCTTGATTTTCTTTAATTGTCTTCATTCTTTTGAAAAGTCTAAATAAGTTAGTGTTTATAATTTAAACTCCTTCTAAAATTATCAAAAAACAAACAAATTTTAGTTCATTAAATATTCTCTTTCTAAAACTGTTTCTTTATTGAATGAAATGTTTCCTTCTGATTCTATAACCATATTATCAATGAAAGGTCATGGTATGTTTGTAAGTGCTGATTCTATAATATGAACAATAATTAAATTTCCTTTAGGAATGAGTTGAATAATATTTTCTGCATTATTACATTTTGGTTTATATTGGTCAATGTCTTTTTCCCAAATACACTTTACTCTTTGTAGTTTCTTTGTCATTTTGAAGTGTTTTAATAATTCCAAATGAAGATTTATTATTTTTATCTACCAATGTATTATATAAAGCTTTATAAGATGGGTCTTCTTCATTTCCAAAACTTTTTTTAGTGGAATTAATTGATTCATTTCATTAAAGTCTATTTCTTTGATCATTTCATTGAGTTGTGATGTTATATTAATAGAATTAATAACACTCTCTTTATTTTTTGGATAATATAAGAATGAGTTAAGAACATAATCCATACCATTTTTTCATTTCTGAGTTTTCTTTATTTTCTGTATGATTTATTGTTTATGTATTTCTTTGATTTTCATCTATCTATTTTTGTACTTCAATATATTTCGTTTCTTATAAATCAATTTCTTGTTCTTGACTCTTTATTGATTCTTTCCATTCTAATTCTTTTTTTTTATTAACTTTTTTGAGAAAATACTCTCTTCTGTATTATTTTATTCTTTAAATTCATTATATTCTTCTTCAGTCTATATTTTAGCTTGGTTTATTTCTATTTCTTCTCTTTCTTTCATTTCCATTGGTTTTGTTAAAAACCTCCATGACACTGTTGGTTCTCTAATTCCAATCTAAGTTACTTCTCCTCCTTGCTCTGGTGTAATACTAATAATTGCTGTTCTATTTCTCCACCATGTAATTTCTTTACTTAAACTCTTAATATTTTCACTTAATCTTTCATGACCCAATAATTTCTGTTGTTTCATTCAATTCTCCAACATCTGTATTAATTATTTTATTAATCATTTCTATCATTTCTATGTTTAGTTGTAGTGAAAACATTATATTGGATTGAATAATTTCAATAATAGCAAATAAAATTATCTTTTTTGTTCAACTTCATTTCTTGTTGATTCTTCAAGTATCATTTTAATTAAAAACTAACAATTATATTCTAAATACCATGGTATAATCCATCAAAGGTGTCTTGCAATAAATACAACAACTTTTAATGCTTCATCATTAATAATTCTTTGTTCTTTAATAAATTGAAGTAAAACATCTCAAATATTTTATAATTCGTTTCTTTTTTCTGTTTTCTTTCATTTAATACAATAATTACTCCAATCCTCCATAATATTGAATTTTGTATTTGATGTGTTATGAAATGGCTTAAAAGTGTTTGATAACATAAACTTCATATATTCAATATATTCAAATCTTTCATTTTTATAATAATGTTGTTCTTCATAAATTGAAAGAGATAAAAGTAATTTTAATGTTTGAACTTCAATTTCTTCTGAATAATTATCATTTTGATATTTTATCATATGTTCTAATAATGGTTGAATTAACTCTGCAAGTGGAAAGTTATATAAAAACATTTTATCTATTGTAGGGAGTATTGAAACACATATTTGATTGTTATATTTTAATACTGATTGAATAATTGTTGAATAAACTTCATAAATACTTTTTTTCATTTTTTATTGGTTTGATAATTATTTCATTTAATCAATTTATTGCTGTTTTTATTGTACTTTCATATGGTTGTTCATTAAGAATTGAAATAAAAATTGGTGCAAATTCTTCATGAATATTATTTGTCCGTTTCTTTCTGTTATTTCTTCTGAATCAATAAACATTCCATTACATTTTGAATTGTTATTGTCCATTCTGTTAATGCTTCATTATGACTTACAACAATTCCATTACATGTAATTTGAATAATTTCTTTCCAAAAAATAATAAATCTTATTGATTCATATTTTCTAATTGAAATGTTGTTAATTTATTATCATTTATTTCATTTTTACCTTTGCTTTT